CAATTATACAAATTGCTCACAAAAGAGTTTCTTTCATGATTAGATTAATTATTCAAGTATCAACTATAGTTTACACGATAATTTTTTATTTTCTGAGATTTTAATCAATTTCACGTTTATTATTTACAATTTCTGAATATTAAAATGTTGATTTTTAATTAATTAAAAGGCTAATAAGCAATTAATGAGAAACATACGTGGAATGATGTTAGTTCTGATTTTTTAATATTATTTTCTAGAGTTCATTAGATGAACAGCTGATATTATCTATGTAATCTTGGAAGTTGCTTTCGATCATCCACATTCCTGTAGGAATAACTTCCATTAGCAGGCAATAATTTCTAGATATTTGGACTAATAAAAAGTTGTCTGTTACGAAAAATGTCTGTCAATATTTCATATGTAAATATTTGAATCATTTGAAAGGAACAAAAATGTATGTTTCAATATATTGCTTGTTTTGGCAGTAGATATTTATTTATGATATATAAGTTATTTAAACATATTATAGGCAAATGACTACAATAGAAATAATTAAATATATCTAATTATTTGACTGATTGAAATATAAATATAAATTTTAACAAAAATATATGATTAAAAGTATTTATAGTAATATTAGAAAAATAATTAGATTGTTTCTATTCAAATGAAAATAAATAGAAATTTTACAATTGCAGATTTTTAATTATCGAAATATGTAAATCTTGATTTTTTAACAAAAAAATTAAAACCAAAAATGTATCAATATAATAAAAATCAATATAAACTTTGCACATAATTCAACGTTATATTTATATAATATTATATAATCGAATTGTTCTTCTAATTTAAATAATTTATTCATATTACAAAACTATAATTAATCAAAGATAATGTAAAGAAAAGAACAAATGATTAAATTATATTATATTTCGTATAATTTTTAAAATTTCTTCATCTTTGATCTTGAAAAAAATAGTGATCGGTGTACAAAAAAACGATCTTTTTCTTTCCATCGACATCTACTATGGATTCATTCGCGTTTTCTGGATCTCAAATTTATTGCCTTGATCGCAATAATAATGCATTATTTAAATTTTTAGAATTGAAAACATATTTGAAAGTTGATAAGAACATTATTAAATTAATTTGATAATAAAGTATAAAATATATATATATATATATACCAGAAAATAAGTATAGATATAAAAATGTTATTTTATTTCAGGAAATACTTCTCCGAACCAAGTTGAACCAACACCATTTTTAGAATGAATACCAGATATTTTGCCAATATCAAAAATTGGTGAGCTCAGAATTAGATTTGAGTTTGGTCATGTAAAAAACGAAACAAGCCATAGATGGAGAAAAATAGCACTATTAAAAAACTATTAAATTTCATATTTGTAATATTTATATTTATATTACTAGATTTTCATTTTCCTGTCATTTATTATTGATTAAATAAGCTAGGATATCTTTTGAGAAAGTTTTACCACTAAATATAGTAAGACCTCTATTATTCGAATCTTATTATCTTATTATATGATTGTTTGAATATCTGTTATTTGAAAATTTAATTATTTGCATAATATTAGTGATAAAAAAAATTAAATACATATCTATCTAATATATTTTAATATATTTAATATATTTCAATAATAGGCTATATGGATTGGATCGATATTATAGAAGTTTGAAAATGATATCGTAAATGAAATAATAATTGAACAAATAAATCATAAAAAAAAATTAAAGATAAATTTATTAGCAAAAATAAAAATAAATCTGATGATGTTTTTGTAAACAGTATTCCTACGCATTTAGAATTATTCATAACAAGAGTAATAATCCTTATGTTCATTAATGAAGTTTAAAAGAAAAAAATAATATAAAACTAGTAATTTGAAAAATAATTTGATAACTCAGAAGGAAAAAAGATCAAAAGGCTAAAAAACTGATTGAAACAAATACGAGTAATTTATAGTAAAAGAATGAATACCAGATATTTTGCCAATATCAAAAATTGGTGAGCTCAGAATTAGATTTGAGTTTGGTCATGTAAAAAACGAAACAAGCCATAGATGGAGAAAAATAGCACTATTAAAAAACTATTAAATTTCATATTTGTAATATTTATATTTATATTACTAGATTTTCATTTTCCTGTCATTTATTATTGATTAAATAAGCTAGGATATCTTTTGAGAAAGTTTTACCACTAAATATAGTAAGACCTCTATTATTCGAATCTTATTATCTTATTATATGATTGTTTGAATATCTGTTATTTGAAAATTTAATTATTTGCATAATATTAGTGATAAAAAAAATTAAATACATATCTATCTAATATATTTTAATATATTTAATATATTTCAATAATAGGCTATATGGATTGGATCGATATTATAGAAGTTTGAAAATGATATCGTAAATGAAATAATAATTGAACAAATAAATCATAAAAAAAATTAAAGATAAATTTATTAGCAAAAATAAAAATAAATCTGATGATGTTTTTGTAAACAGTATTCCTACGCATTTAGAATTATTCATAACAAGAGTAATAATCCTTATGTTCATTAATGAAGTTTAAAAGAAAAAAAATAATATAAAACTAGTAATTTGAAAAATAATTTGATAACTCAGAAGGAAAAAAGATCAAAAGGCTAAAAAACTGATTGAAACAAATACGAGTAATTTATAGTAAAACTGTCTTATATCATATGAAACACAATAATTTAAATTATTCAATTATCTAAAACTATATTACACACATAGACTATTGATATTATTATTATTAGTTTGATTAATCGAGATCTTATTTGTAATTTAATATATACTCAATCGCAAGAATTTTTATATACTATCTTATAAAAAAATTAATTGTTATAAAAAATTTGATTTTAATGAAAACTTATATAAGGATTATAGAATAATTTTCAATATTTTTCAACAAAAAATTTCTATGTGAAATCAATTTTCATTTTTTTATATTATACAGTTTCTTTTGGAAATATTTTTTATTTTCTCCGATAATAAAGCATTAAATATTCTATAATTTAGAATTTTGCTTTATCTTGAACCATTATGAAATGAAATTATGAAATTATCCAAAGAAACAAAAATAATATTGAAACTTCAAAAACTCAAATTCATTCAAATAAGATTTCACTCCTATGAAATGATATTCATAATAAAAAAATGGTTTCATATTATACTCATAATATTTCATATAAAACAAAATTATTGTTGATTTCGATAACACAATTTAATTGAATTTGTGAATGAAACGAATGAAGATTTCTGCGATTAACTGTATATATAATGTTCTTATTAACAAGTTAATAATGAAAAGAAGTATTAAAAGAAGTATTTTGTTTTAACATAGTATCTAAATTAATTTTAAGCAATTAAAAACTGATCTTATTTTATGTGTACATATATACATAACAATACAATATAAATGTATATATATTTTATCCTTTTATAAAAGTTCACCTTAATTAAAGAAAAGTAATGATTTTTGATAAAATAAATAATTTATATTTTTATAAAAAATGATTATATATATCATCTAGTATTAATATTAGAATTTTATATTAATTTTAGATTAATTAATATTCTAATATTAATATTTGTATTAATTATTTATATTAATTATTTATATTAATATTTATATTAATATCAGAATAGTAGAATCTATATTAATATTAGAATTTTCAGTTCAGTAAATAAATTTATGATACCATATATTTGTTAATTAATTTATTAGAACTGAATATATAATAAATTATGTTAAAATAATTATTAATAAATGTGTGAAATTATTAATTTATAACAATATGATATATTGTATATATATAATACTTTAAATCGAATGTTATTATAAGAGCTAAAACATATTTACATTATTTAATAAAATTTCGTTTTCTGTCTTCATATTTATTTATTTTCTAATACAATTTCTATAAATTTGTAAATCATATTAATATATTTAAAAATATAATTAAAATATAAACAAATTTAATACATAATTTCAAAACATTGCTATGAATAAATAATAATTTATTAAACTTAATAATTATAATATTGAAAGTTTAAAATTTGACATTAAAAATAAAAAAAATATCAATCTTTTGAAATAAATAAATATTTTAATAGATATCATTCAAATATTATATAAATTATTCTTTTAAAATAATCCGTTAAATTATTTTCGTTGTTGTAGAATTATTTCACGTTTAGAGGTTAAACGAATTGCATATTTTTTTCATTATATCATTATATTCATTACTTTTCCATCACTTTCTATAAAAGAATACCTGTTAATTTTATTTCTCCATTATTGTTTATGAAAAAACATCCGTTATTAATTTTATTTTCTTAAATAATCTGATAATGATACTACATTTGATATCAAGCTACGCTAAACATAACTATGTGATTTAATTAATATCGATATAGATGATATTGTAAACATAAGTGAAGTTTTGACATTTAAGATTTAGTATATTTAATTTTAAACTTTTATTTTTTTTACATTAAAAATTTATATAATAAATAAATATTACAATAAAATTGAGAAAAATAATTTATTTTAATTAATAATTTAATAATATATTATAATTTTATTAATAATTTAATAATATATTAAACGGTTAATTAGTCTAATTTAAATAAATAAAAAATAAAAAAATAAATTTTTAGTTTTTTAATGGAATATGTAATTATAAAAATGTTTTTTCATATATATAATTCATGATATATTTTTTAAAAAAATATTTTTATTTGCTTGAATATATATATATATTCAATTAAATAATGGAAAAGAAATATCGTGAAAATATTTTAAATATTAAAAAAATAATAATATTTGACAATTATTTTAAAGAATTATAAAAAAAAAATGAATTATAAAAAAAATAAAAATTATAATTATTATTTTACAATATGTTGTAAAATGAAAGTAATTAAACAATTTAATTCTGTGAATTTAAGTTAACATCGTGCAGAGAGAAATGCCCTCTGTCGCAAATACTAAGAATCTTGTATTAATATTGAGATGAGCTTTATTTATTTACTATCGAAATAAACTTTGTTATAATATAATTATCAGTGAAAATCATATAACTTTTACCTCTTCTTATAATTATTAATTCTGTATTAAAAAGTAAGAACAGATAAAATCTTTATATTTCTAATCTTTATAATTCGTATATAGAATTTGAAAAATGTGTCATGTAAAACAATATTTGAATGTTTAGTGAAAATATTTTTTATCTATTATTACTTTAATTTGAAAGTGTAAATGTTATTTAACTTTTCCCTTCAATATTTTTACAAATTTATATTACAAAATTGACAATTGTTTATATAATAGTTTTAGAATACAAATAAATATAAATTTCAAATAGCACATAGTTTCAATCCATATTTTATAATATAATAATATAAAATAATTTTCGTAATTTTGTTATTTTTAATATTCATTTTAAAATTATACAATAATTAGAAATTATAAAATACAGAAATATTTAAACTCATAATAATTTCTATGATTAAATATCTAAACATTCATAATGATAATCTATTTTAAATATATTTTGTTCCATAATAAAATTTAATTTTCTATATTACTAATTAAAAATAATATTATTTAGCTATGTCTAATGAGGAGCGTTTGAGGAAGCTACTCTCTGACTTAGGTAAAGCTACATTACGTGGAATTCGTAAATGTCCAAAATGTGGAACTTATAATGGATCTCGTGGTTTGTGTTGTAAAAACAAATACTGTGATGCAGTATTTAAAGAACCTGGTGAAAAAAGAAAATTGTCAACCGAAGCATGTAAACTTATTACGGGCACAACTGCTCAAGTTTTTTCTGTAAGAGTTAGAGATAAAGGTCCAGATTATCGTGGATTTGTTCAATTACCATTAATAAATGCCACAATTTCTAATGAAATGACAACACTCATTTCACAATCCACTGCATTGTGTTTTGTTGATAGTTGTGAAAGAAGTTTTGATACTAGTGTTCTTAAATGTCATGTAAGTTTTATAAAATTAAAAATTAAATTCTATATTATTGGAATGAGACAAATATTAACATTACAGATTTTTATGTTAAAAATTATGTCCTATAAAAATTTCAATATTTTTTTTTATAGGAAAAAAATTCATCTGATGTGCCTGTCACTGCATGTCAACATATACAGGCAGCTTTAAGATGTTACGCAGAAGCACAGCCATTAACTTTAAGGAATTCTATTCTATCATCTTTAAACGTAAATAATGAAACGAAGCAAGAAATTTGGCTATTAGCTACAGAAACTTCTGGTCCTTTAGTGCAACGTGTATCTAAAAATATAATGGCCGTAAAATGCAAGGCTTCGCCTAAACATCCATTAGGTTACCTTCATTTTTCTTTTTTTGTTACAAAATTAAAAGACAGAATCGAACATCGTTATTTTTGTTCTTGTTCTACATTTAAAGTAAGCATTAACAAAAAAACAAAATTTATTTTAATTTATTATAATTAAAAATATTATTCACAATGTTAAAAATTAATTTAGGGTATAGGAAAAACAGCAGGAGACAAACCAGATATAACACAATCTTCTCAAAGTAAACGTTGCATACATTTTTATGCTTGTATTTGTGCATTTGCTAGTGATACAAAATTGTCAGAAGAATTTAGTTATTATATTAATTTAGATCAAAATGATTTAAGCATATCAAAACCATTAACAACAGTATTACATAATGATGAGCAAGATAAAATAGTGGGGATTGGTAAGAGGATTCATATTAATTTTTTATGAAATATTCATTTTACATTAAAATTTTAGATCTTGATAGTCTAACTACGGATGATACAGATACACATCTTTTAATATTTCGAGATGATACTTTAACAGTTCAAAGTTTAGATGGAAATAGATTAGATTTGGATTCAATGAATTTAGAATCTACAATTTTACCACATAGTATTGTTGAAAATATCGAAGTAGAATGTGATCGTACCTTATTAGAAGATAATATGATATCCCAGGTAAAAAATATTATATCATTTACTTTTTTAAATCTTTTATCAAAATAATAAATTAATATTTTTTGAAATTTAGGTGAATAATTTAGAAGTAATTAATCAAGATAATGTACAACTTGGTGAAGACACAGTTAAAATGATAGATGATCAAACAAGTATAGATTCTAAATATAATGTGCTTAATAATAGTCAATATATATTAAATGATAATAATATAAAGATAGTAAATACTGGAACTTTAAAAATTCTTGATACAAATGCAATTTTAGATGTGAATAATATGAAATTAATTGATGCTAATACTGTTTCAAATACAAATAGTGTAAAAATAATAGATAAAAACATATTAATACAATATGATACTGGAAATATATCAAATACAGAAAGTAATAACATACAACAACCGATTTCGACAAAACGAAAAAGAGATGATAAACCAACAAGCACAAATATCACAAGTCTGAATAATTTAAATTCAATAGAACCAAGGAAAGCTAAAACAAAATTACATATTGTTAAGAAATATCAAAATCCTTGTGAAGATTTGGATGAAACAAACATAAATTTACCTTTCATCAAATGGCTTGCATCGATAACAGAAAGAATAAATCAAACTATGCATTTTCAATTTGATGGAAAGCCAGATCCTTTAGTATTCCATGTACCGCAAATATTTTTTGATTGTTTACGAGAGAGAATATCTTGCGGAGGTAAAAAAAACGTTTGCCAAATTCAACAACGGCATTTGTTCGAAAAGACGGTGTACCATTAGGTACTTTTACTAAATATACTTGGCAAATTACTAACATTTTACACGTTAAAAGTATTTTCGAAACGCCTCTTATACCATTGGAAATTACAAGAAGTTTTGTGCAAAATGCAGATGGTACATATGAATTGTATAAAAGAGAGGAAACAGAAATAGATCGATATAAAAAAACTAATAATAATGCATTAATTAAACCTTTAGAATTAAAAACATATTTGAAAGTTGGTAAGAAACACGTAAATTTAATAGTAAATAGTATATAATTTGATAGTAAAATATAAATTAATATATATATAATAAGAATTAAATATAGATATAAAAAATGTTATTTTATTTCAGGAAATACTTCTCCGAACCAAGTTGAACCAACACCATTTTT